TTTATTTATTTTTTGAGACAGAGTTTCTGCCTCTGTCTCACACATGCTGGGATTAAAAGCATGTACCACCACCTGATGTAAAACCCTGTCTTTAGGGAAAAAGTAAAACAAAAACAACTGTTCTTCCTGAATCATAAATAAATGAAAATGAGCAGGGAAGGGATAAGATTTTCCTGTTTTTGTATCCTACTGAAGTATCCTATTTTTACTTCTGTAACTGCGACAATACAGTCAGAAAAAAAGCAACTTAGAGAACGAAAGAATGTTTCAGCTTCCAGATCCCTCATTGAAGGAACTTGAAGCAGAAACCAGGGAGGAACATGCTTGCTGGCACTCAGTCTTGTGTTCAACTAGCTTTCTTACACAGCCCTGGACCACCTGCCCAGGGAATGGTACCACCCACAGGTGGGCTGGGCTCTCCCACAACAGTTAACAATCAAGATAATCCTGACAGGCCAATTAATTGAAACCCACTTCTCCAGCCACTCTGGATCAGGTCCACAGTTACTAAGATAACAAGGACAGCTGGGCATTGGTGGTGCGCGCCTTTAATCCCAGCACTCGGGAGACAGAGGCAGGCAGATCTCTGTGAGTTCCAGGCCAGCCTGATCTACAGAGCAAGTGCCAGGACAGGATCCAAAGCTACACTGAGAAACTTTGTCTCGAGAAAAAAAGAAAGAAAGAAAAAAAGCGCTAACTAACTAGGACATAAAGAGAAATGTTGGGTCTGGAGAGAGATGGTTGTACTTGGTGTGAAGTGTGAAGACAGGAATTGAACCCCTACAACCCAGGTCAAAAGCTGGGTGGGCTATAATCGCTGTGCTTGGCAGTTGAAGACAGACTCCCCCAGAGCAAGCTAGCTAGGCTGACTAGCAGAACTGATGAGCCCTGGGTTCAGCAAGAGACTCTGCCTCCACAGAGAGTGATTGAGGGAAACACTGATACTGACCTCACACTGTGAACAGACAGACAGACAGACACACACACACACACACACACACACACACACACACACACACACGAAAAAGGAATGCTACTTTAGTCTCTAACAAAAGGAACAGCACCCTTGTGCAAGCCTCATGCATTGGGAACATTTCCTCTGGACATCATTGTGAGGGCATCATTTTTCAATTCAACAAGAAACTCAAATGCTGCTCACTGCCATCCATTACATGTCCGATTGATTCCCTGTACAGTCAGCTGCACCAGGCATTTTCTTTACACTGTCTGCCAGGCCGGTGGCACATACCAATGTTTACTGCACAGCAATTTCAAGGTCAGCCAAAGTCACAAGGGACTGTCTCGAGAACAAAACAAAAATCTGTTAATTTAGCTAACAAAATATGAGGCTTTATTATTTTTATTCCCTGTGTTGGTCAGTATTTGTCAACTAGACACAAACCTGGGAAGAGGGAATCTTTTTATTTTAATTATTTTTTATTTTATTGTAGGTGTCTGAGTGTTTCCACTGAATGTTATGTCTCTATACAGCATGTCTCTGGTACTGATGGAAGCCAGAAGACAACACGGGATCCCCTGGGACTGTATATAAAAATGGTTACCACCTGCCATGTGGATGCGAGAATTGAACCCACGTCCTCTGCAAGAACAGCCAATGTTACCTCTTCAGCCCAAGAGGGAATCTTAATTGAGAAAATGCCCCCACCAGATCTGTCTCTGGACAAGCCTGTGAGGCATTTTCTTGATTAATAATCGATGTGGGAGGGCCCAGACCACTATGGGCGGTGTCACCCAGGCAGGTAGTCCTGGTTTATATAAGAAAGCAGGCTAAGAAGCCAGGAAACAGCACCCCTCCAGGCTTTCTGCTTCAGCTCCTGCCTCGACCTCCCTCCATGATGGACTGACTGTAAGATGAAGCCTTTCCTCTCCATGCCCCATGTCACTGGGGAGGTGCTTCCTGGATATTCATATTCACCATGTTTTCTTTTTGATTAAATATCTATATAAAAATTCTGCCTGCTTCTTCATTTACAGAAATGTATACATATTTTGTGTATCAGTTCCTTATTTGATAAATGTTGTAAATATATCCTCCTGGTCTGCCATCATTTTGATGTAGTTTTATGCTACCTATTGTCACAGAGTTCTTAAAAATGTTTATTTAGTCAAATTTATCAAATTTCTGTGACTTTTAAAATTTGAGGTCTAGAAACAAAAATGCAAAATAAAACCAAACACAGCCTCCTACGTTAGCACAGGAGACTGAGGTTCTGAGGAAAGGAGGGGGCTAACCAATCAAAGGTCAAGATTTCCTCGCTCCTTAAGCTCTGGCAGCTGCAACTTGGAGACATCTTTGAGTGTGGGAAGGGGAAGATGCAGGGGAGTCATTCATTCACTGTTTCTTCTGCTGTCTCAGTCCCCCCAAGCCAGAACTGACTCACCCCAACCCTAGCATAAACAGGCGTGGCCTTTCTTTCATGGCTGGACAGAGTTTATGAATCCCTTGGAGGAAAACTGGTTTTCAGACCAAAATACTAAGACACTTGATGAGTATGCTGTTTCTAACGAAAAACAACATAATCAACCACAGACTCTGTCAGGAACAAAAACACAACTGAAAGATGTGGAATTTTACTTCAGATGGTTTCTAGCTCAAAGTGAGCCGGCTGTGCAAGCCTAGTGCCAGAGCTCCACTGACGACAGCTGGAACCCATATAGGAGGAGGACACAACTCCTGACAGCATCCTCTGACCTTCACAACTGCACACTCACACAAGTAAAATAGCAAAAATAGTTAGACTCGGAAATTATGATAGTTGAAAAAAAATGACAGCACATGGCATTAATTGCAGAATGAATGCAACTATGAGCAAATGTAAGAACTAGACAGACTGAAAGGAAAGAGGAACATGTGAACAGATTGTTAAAATAAAGGCTAAGATTGCCAGGTGGTGGTGCACGCCTTTAGTAATCCCAGCACTCAGGAGGCAGGGGCAGGTGGATCTCTGTGAGTTCAAGACCAGTCCAGTCTACAAGAGCTAGTTCTAGGGGAGCCTCCAAAGCCACAGAGAAACCCTGTCTTGAAAAATCAAAATAAATAAATAAACAATAATAATAATTAAAAATAAAGGCTAAGATCAGATAGCAAAGGAAAACTACATCTATTATATCTCAGATTTAAAATAAGAATGAGATAGCATGTTATTATCTAATCTCCCACACCCAAGCTTCCTTAGCTTAAAAAAAAATGAAGTATACAAATGTATACAACTAAAACTAAACAACTGTAAATGAGTTATAAGATATGTAAGTAACAATTGCCAGGTGTAAAGAGAACTTCAGGTGTACTACATAAACGCCAACAGCATTTTCACAGTCATCATTTAGTGAGTGGGAGTGACTGGGACATGGACAGGCTGTTAGGCATCAGATAGCATGGGATGGGGGAGAAGAGCCAATCATTCCTCACTGGGAATCAAGAGGTAATACACAAAATAGAAAAAGGCACCTCGACCAGGAATTATTGAGAGACAGAGGTAAATGACAAAACTAAACTGTCATAAACGAAGTAAAAGTGAGCTTTTTGTGTTTTGTTTTTAGTATTTATTCTTGGGGGAGGGGATGGCGGCGGTCTCGGGTGCACACACCTTTGATCCCAGCACTCAGGAGACAGAGGCAGGCAGATCTTTGTGAGTTTAAGGCCAGTCTGGTCTACAGAGCAGTCTGGTCTACATTCAAAGCTACACCGAGAACCCCTGTCTTGAAAAACAAAACAAAGTAGCTGGGTGGTGGTGGTGGCACCTTTAATAATCCTAGCACTCAGGAGTCAGAGGCAAAGGCAAGTGATCTCTGTGAATTTGAGGCCAGCCTGAACTACAAAGTGAGTTCCAGGACAGCCTCCAAAGCCAGAGAAACCCTATCTTGAAAAACCAAAAGGAAAAAAAGAAAAGGAAAACAAACAAAAAAAAGTATTCTTATTTTATGTACATGAGTATTCAGCTTATGTTTGCATGGTATCCATGGAGGTCAGAAGAGGCATCAGAGTCCCAGGAACTGGAGTTACAAGATAGCTGTAAATGGCTATGTGGATCTGGGAATTGAACCTGGATCTTCTGCAAGTGAAGCAAATGCTCTCAACCACTGAGCCTTCACTCCAGCTCCAACAATAGTTGTTTTTAAGTAAAGTGCAGAATGGATTTTTTTTTTCAAAATCTTTCAGAATGACTTGAACTTTTAAACTATGCCATGTGTGCTTTGCATTAAAATGGATACAATAAGAAGGGAAGAGGACAGCCTAGAGGAATCCCACCTTCTCTAGCTTGCAAGTCTGCAGATCTGGGAAGCAGAGGCATTACTTACATCACATCCACTGATTGTGGGGACACCTGGGGAACCATCTGAGGACAGCTTGTCTGTTCAGTGAAAAAGAACCACCACACCCACGAAATCAACAACTTTCTCCCTCTCATTCACCTCTGGTGCAAGCCAGAAGCCTACAGAGATCCAGTTATGACTTTCAGTTCCCTGTTTTTTTCCCAGACGTCGGCAGCTTGGGCTAGTCCTGTGCCAAAAACAAGGTTTGTCAGGGGCTGAACTCTGATTACTGCACCAGCCAAAGTTACCAAGATGACTTTCTTACCCAACTGGAAATTCTCTTCTCCAAGCCTATTGTGGGAATTTCATGTTTCCCCCAATAAGGACTCCATTAGGTACTATGAATGTCAACTACATGCTAGTGTTTCTTTCTTGCATCACACGTCGCCGATGCATGAAGATTAACGACAACACCTGTTTCAAGTCATTATTCATCAATTCCCTGCAATTACCAAACAAACTGTCCTGGCTCTTCCAAGTCCTTAAACAAAGGGAGGGAGAAATGATTCCTGCTGTCTTCGCTGCAATCTGACAAGAAGTACTGTATGTAATATCTAAGCCCTTGCTCCTCCTATCCCTAGTATAAGAGCCCTGAGATGGAGTTGAAAGAGAAGGTAAAAGAGACACAGATGTGGAGGGAAACAGCTGCTCAGAAGCCACTGTACCTTAAGCATGTAGTAGAAGGGGAACCAGGACAGGAAGAGGTCAGAGAAGAACTCTGCAATACTGAACACGCCGTACACCACCCAGTATGTCAGCCACTGGGTGTCGTCATCTTTGTTGGGGCTCTCAATGGCTTTCATTCTGAAAAGCAACACAAAAGAAAATACATTGTCAATTAGTGAGATTCATTATCCCTTCACAGCCTGTTCTCCAACATCAGGCAAGTGTATGAACTATAGCGAACTTTAGCTCCAGCTTTCAGGGAGCAGAGGGCAGAGGCAGAGGCAGAGGCAGAGGCATCTCTGAGTCCCAGACAAGCCAGGGCTATGGAATGAGACCCTGTCAAAAACAATAAAAATAAATGAAACCTTCATAATAGCCCATGGGCTAGCTTTTTTGTTTTCTCTTTTAGAGGAAGAAACTGTAGCTCAAAGAAGAGAAATAGCATGTGGTGGGTTTATGCCTAGGACCACCTCCAAAGCCTGCTTACTTCACTGGAGCACGTCATTTTCTTAATTAGAAACACAATTCACCACCAGGCTGGACTGCACCTAGCAAAATGTTGGGTACAAGGTGGACAGTTAATATTTACTAATTAAGTACAATAGGTGGTTTGCAATATTACTAATTAATTTAAGTACAAGGGGAGGTTTGCAACCTTGTTTTTGGAAGGTACCACTCAGACCTTGTCCTGTACTAGAAAAAGCCAAAGCCCACAAACTTATCACAGAGCAGAAAGAGTAGAGGAAATGTCAGAGACTCAACATCTTAATCCCCAGAAGGGGGGGGGGGGCATCAGGCATGAGAGGATGATGGTCTGAGTTAGTGTTCCAGTCTGCTGGCTCACAAACTTCTGATGACCACCTACACCTACCTGGAACTGGTAAAACTGTATGTCTAGAATGAATTGAGACCTACTGATTCAGACGTAGAGGAAAGCCACGTGCTCAGAAAGTTGTTCAGGAGTCAGGTGGGATGTCACACACCTGTCATACCAATACTTGGAAGGTGAAAGCTAGAGAATCTCAAGTTTCAAGCCAGACTGTTGTTTCCAAAAATGATAATAGGTAAAAGGGCTGGGTGATGGCTCAGTGGGCAAAGCACAAGTTAGGACCTGTGTCCAGACCTCCAGAACCCACATAGAGCCAAACTCAGTAATGTCTGTCTGACCTCAGCATTGCTATAGCAGACGGGAGACAGAAACAATCCTCCATAGCTCACTGGACAGCTAGCTAGTTTGGTGTACATTGTGGGAAACAAGAGACCCTACCTTAAACAATGAAGAAGGAAGGCAAGGGCTGACACCCGATATTGTCCTCTGACCCCCACAGGAGTGCCATGGTAAGCATGTGCCACTCCCCAACACATATACCCCAAACACACTAAGGATTTTCTTTTTTAAAAAAGGAAATTGTGTGGTTGATCCCAAAGGAGAGCCAAACTTGACAACCATCATTTCAGATTTCCAACCTCCAAAGCACTATCTTACTTATTTCTGAGAAAGTCAGTTCCAGTAGTGTTGTGAAATATGTAACTGTGTAAAGGTGTGTTACATGTGTTTCTGCTGAGGAATATTACTTTAACTGTGTAAAGATATGTTACATTTGTTTCTGCTGCCTTTGTTAATGATGTAAGGTGTGTTACATTTGTGCTGCATCTATTTAATTATGTAAAGATGTGTTGCATTTGTTTCACTTTGCCTGCTTAAGGCACCTGATTGGTCTAATAAAGAGCTGAATGGCCAATAGCTAGACAGAAGGGGGGGCACGGACTGGCAAACAGAGTAAGTAGGAGAAATCTAGGCTGGAAAAAAAGAATGAAAAAAGGAGAAAGAGAGGTGCAAGAAGCCACCAGCCAGCCAGCCAGCCAGCCGCAAGAAGCAGGGAAAGTAAGATATACAAAAGGAAAGGCAGTAAAAAGCCAAGGCAAAAGGTAGATAAAGAGAAACAAATTAATTTAAGTTAAAAGAGCTGGCCTGAAATGGCTAAGGCCATATAGTTGAGACTGACTTTGGACTATTTATCTTCCTGCCTCTTCCCTCCCAAGTGCTGGGACTGTAGGAATGCACTAGTGCACCTGACCATGCTTGTGTGTGTGTGTGTGTGTGTGTGTGTGTGTGCATGCACGTGTGCACACGTATGAAAATGAAGGTCAAAGAGGACAGAGTGGTATCAAAATGCATTCTACTTCATTCTATTAAAGTATTATAGCAGCTCCATACAACACATTTACTCATTCCACAGGGAATGATCTATTTAAACACATTTTAAATATTCTGAAGCCTTTATAAAGGACAATGACAAAGATGTGCAAGATACATTGCTAAGTATAAAACATTCTAATTTTGAGTTAAAACAAAACAGACAAACAAACAAAAGCAGTGTTTGTGTGTGCTGACAGATCAAGACAGAATTCAGAAGGGTTTCGAAGATAAGATCAGTCCTGAGTATTGGGATAACAGACTTTTACTTCTTTAGGTCTCTGTAATGATCATGATGGGGGTGGGGCAGAGGAGGGTTCTATTGGAAAGCACTGAGCTCCACACTCTGCTTCCCATGAGGCCAGTTCTCTCTGGAGCATCACTAAATACAAACACTAAAGTGAACACACTCATTTAACTTCTCTCTTGAGGAAACAGCTAATAGATTAATTTACAGTCTTCACTAACAATGACACAATCTGTGCTTTAGGGATTAAAAGGCCTTCAATATATACACAGAGAAACAGAAGAGTCGCAAAGGCCATCAGATGAAACAAACTCATCTGAACTTTCTACTTAAACAAAATGAACTATCAGAAACTAATTACTTTAAGTCAGGGTAGCTGGGCACATGGCATGCCTGGCTTTGCCCTACTTCACCACCGGCTCCCACCACTCATTCAAACCAAGGGCAGAGTCTCTCTGGGCTTTAGCTTGCTCATCTACCAAGTGATAGACCGTACTGTGCTGCTGTGACAATTACAGCACTTAGTATATGTAATGCATTTATAAACACAGAATGGCACAGAATAAATATGTCCACAATAGTGTAATAATTATAATTTATGGAGATGAGCAATCAGAGACAGAAAAAGTCTTCTGACTAAGAGCTGGTAGAAGGAATGTTATCAGTAAGGCTAAAAGGAGAATAGAGAACTATAGATGGGTTTTTGTTATACTCCAAACTCTATGTGCTGCAAGAGTGAAGAGTTAGCTGAAACCCCCAAAGTTCACCTGTTCACAGGTTAGCAGGAAAATTGTGGATAACAGTGAAACATTCTTTGGGCCAACTATGGAAGATAAACCAGGAAAAAATATTTTCTCTGGTACTGAACTGGTACTGATACACAAGGGCATTCATGAGTCTCCCCCAGCCCACTGGGCCTCAACAGTTGCTTCGGGCAGACTCCATCCTTGTTGGCCCACTTACTTGTTCACAGCTCCACAGTTGGGTTTGTTTGCTTGTTGAAACAAAGCTGAGAACTGAGGATGTTTAAAAGGCAGCATCAATCACACAGGAAGACAACCAAAGATGAGACAGGCCTGAGCTACCTGTCTTCTCTCCCTCCTAAACCAAATGTCAGCAATCCCTGATCCAGACTCCATCATGCTGCAAGTCTCAGGATTACGATGTACCCATCTAGGTGCAGGTGTAACACATTCCTCTCTGGTAGGGATACTGACAGTAGAGGAGGCTCTGCAGAATGGGCAGGGGATTATGAGACTTTCTACTTAAAGAGGAAACTCTGTTTACAAATTAAGCATTTTATAATATCAGATTTTAAAAATTCTTACATTACCACTGTGCCATTTTAGTTTGGGTAGGTGTTGTTTACTTTCTTACTGTTTCTCAAGACAGGGTTTCTGTGTGTCTTTAAAATTGCTTTGTAGACCAGGCTGGCATCAAACTCAAGAGATTTGCCTGCCTCTGCCTCCAAGTGTTGTGATTAAAGGAGTGTGCCACCACTGCCTAGTCATTAACAAATTAAAACTGGGGGGGGAAAGGGCATTTCTGTCTTAAGGATCTGTATAGTTGTAATTATTGAAACCTTCATCTACCAATTATAATTCAGTTTCCTTGGGACAGACATTAAATTCTCTTAAATACGGCTATCAATTAGGTACTTTGCTTTTTAAAATGTGTGTGTGTGTGTGTGTGTGTGTGTACTCACATACCATGACACACATGAAGGTGTTATAGAGTTGGCTCTCTCCTTCTACCATATTGGTGCTGGGGCTGAATTCAGGATGTCAGGCTTGAAGACAAGCACCTGTACCCACTATATCATCTGTGTCCCCTCCCCATTAAACACCTTGAACAACACATTAGCTCTTTGAGACCTAAAGGTTATTCCTTGCCCTGCATGTATCTCAACATTTCCTCATGTCACTGAATTGAAAAAAACGTCAGCTTTCTGTACTCGTGGAGCACGTATGACCAAATATGTTCTACCTATGAATTATACATAATGAAAGGTAAACATAACAGAGTAGATGAATCTGAAAACTCACATATTTTAGTGTTGCCCATTCCTTGTATGTCAATGATATGTTTCCTGGATGGACAGATACTACTGTGACTCCGAAAGCCCTTAAGAAAGGGGGTAGAAAGCCCTGGACCAACGCACACAGCGGCAGTCAGTCCTGCTGTTCCACGTGTCCTGTAACACAAACGTGGGCATATTGCTCTGAAGGAACAATGCTCTAAGAAAAGCAGGGAGGAGGCTGCAGAACAAGTTTAACTTTTGGCCAAGAGAATGAAGGAAGCCAAAGAACACCACCAGAAACAGATCACTACGGCACGAAGGCCGTTCTCGCTAAGAGCTTCCGCAGAGTCTGAGCCCAGTCAAAAAGAAGTCTCTGCCAGGAGCAAATGGAGAAAAGACAGTGGATTTAAAATCCAGACCTTGTCAGTCCAGGTTAGTTATATTCTGCTTGGGGACAACCTGTTCCACTGAACCAAGGCAGAAAAAACCACAAGCCACACAAACAATACTGAAGAATAAAACATCACAGTTCTTTTCATCTTTGAATATTGACATTTTTAGCAGATGATTTAAGCATGTGAAAAAAATGACAAGAAATAACAAAAATAACTATGGGGCAAAGGAAAGAAAGGAAACAGCATTTGAGAACACTCGTAATTGTTAAACTGTCTGAA